TAAAAAGTTTATCATAGATTAATCATAAAATTTTTTAATATAAATTTTTTTAAAAAATTACAAATTTTAGCTTCTAAGTAATCTCAAACATTTTAATATATAATTAAAAGATAAAACTTACTATAATTTATTTTATATTTATAAAATTAATTTAAAAAAAAAAAATATTAATTATTTATAAAAGTAAATCAGAAGAGAATTTATAGTAAATAAGCAGGCAAATTTGTTTGCAAAACAAGGAGTAATGTTTAGAACCTGTAACTTTTGTATTGTTTCTGAAAATGAAAAACGAAAGTTTATTTATTTTTAAATAGTAAAATAAAAATTTATTTTACATTATTTATTATGTAATATCATTCTTTTAATGTTTATGAGCACAAACTTTTTTTAGATATTTAGAGAAAATTTATTTTTGAAAAAAAAATTTCGCGAAATACTTTCTAAACCAATTGTTGGAAGATACTTGATAATATATTTTGAGGTTCAAATTTATAATCATATATTTAGTCAAATTTGACGTTAGATCAGTTACTGGACATTTCTAACGTAACACTGATCTCTTTTTGACCTTAAAGATTCTTCTATTATATGTATATTGTTGAGAAATGACTGAAAAGGTAAAATTTACTTTATAAGCATCAAATTTAAGGAATATTGAGATATTTTACTAAACACTTGTAACTTGTTTTGTTTAAAAGTACAAATAATTTTATTTTTAAAGATATATTTTTAGTTTACATGCTCAAAATAATATTTGCATATTCACTAACTTTGTCTTTTATTATTCTCTTCCACACTCAACATTCACTTATAGAACACCTCTAAAATAATGTTATTTTTATTATTTCATTTAAAACTATAAAATTCTTGAATAAAGATATAAATTTGAAGGTCAAATTTATTTGTATAGTTTGCATAGCTTCCCATTTATTGAAAGGTTATAATATTTTAACGAAAAAGTGACAAGAAAAAATTAAATCGAAACGTTCGTCTTAACCCAGAGAATTTAAAATTTATTAAAAAAGTGATCGACAAGCTGCATATTTAATTAGTTGTTATAGTGATCAAGGATGATGATGCACGTGATATAAACCACATCGTAACGCGCCAGGAGAAAGGTTGAATGAGGTCAAAATAGAAGAGGTATTTGTGGTAGTAAATATAGGGCAATAAGATAATTTTGACACGTTTTTGGCAGTAACCGTTGGTTCGGAATCATCATTAACTACATTAGATTGATTTCTTTCTTGTTGCTTTGATTGAGCAAGAGGAGGTTGAGAGAATTGATTCGAATGAATGTTATAGGTGTAATGGATGGATTGAGTTGGTGTTTTACAACCATAATTATTCATATGATATTTAACAACCTTACGACTACCAAGTAAAATTTGTGGAACTGCTAAATGTAACGGTGGAAGTGTAATGTCTTTGGACGATTTATGTCTTCTTGCATAACTTTTATCCGCGAAATTTCTTAACGGAGGAAGTTTTAATGATGCAAAATTTGTCAAGTAATGTTGTTGCTGATGATGTTGACATGCTGACACGTTATCAAGTGTTTCCGATAATAATGGTAAACTTTTATTCGTAGAAGGGAGTGATGAAGTTGTTATAGTTGTTGTGTTTGATTGATGATTTGTTGTCTCTTCTAGTCGAGTTCTTTCATCTTGTCTCCTTTTCGCTCTACGATTTTGAAACCTGATAACGTTTTAAGTTTTTTTTTTTAGTGAATCATTTGCTAATAAAATTTAAATAAATGAGAATATTACCAAATATGAACACTTTTGCTTGGCATATTTAATTTCTGAGCGATTTTCTTTCTCATATTTGAATCAGGAAAATCATCAATATTTTGAAAATATGATTCAAGAAATTGTAATTGTGTTGGAGTCGTTCGATGTCTTTGTTGAATGCTTGAATTACATAACGAAATATTGTTATAAACATTCTTGGAGATAGTAGTATTTATTTCGCTCATAGTAAGACGAATCAAGGAAAAAAAAAAACGAAGAAAAAAGGGAAAGATTAAAGATAAATTACACGTAAAAAAAGCAGGGTGGGGGAATGGTTTATTAACGAAAAGAATTATACGTAGAAAACAAATTTATTACCATTAAGTGTAAAGAGAAAAATCATAATTAAAATATATATGTATTTATTTATTTATTTATTTTTAATATTTATTGACTTTATAATATTCTTTTACAAACGGCAAACGTATATTTTAATCGCGTTCTTGACACGTTCATTTAGACACATTTTATACCTTTTTTTATTTTTTTTTTTTTTATATATTTGACCTTGACAAAGAAAAATGATAAAAAAACATATTAATCAATCAATTAACAGTTAATGTGATAAATTATCAATTTAATTAAATTTATTCTTTAATATTATTGTAATTTATCATCTTACAACGTTTGACGTAATTACAAATATATTAAATGTATATTTTCATCTTTATTAATAAGTTAAATATATTAATGATTTGTGGATCAATTAATAATCTTTTTTAAATGGATTTAAGAATAATAAATATTATAATATGAAGAGAAATTGTTTTGATTTTTATAAAGATTGATCAAATGGAAGATACTCTTTACAAAATTGACTACCACATAAACATTTCTTTCTTTTTACACTAATATTGCTTTCTTCAATAGTATTATCATTTATACCACCAGAATAATCAAAAGATAATTCTTCACCCATTTCAATATCCCTCCTTGCAAATAGAGCAGCTGTTGGAATTAGGGAATTTATTCTGGTGAGAAATATTTGTAAGTTTGGATCACACGAATGATTGATAAACCTTCCTATATTACCTATATGAATTGGATCTATATTCTACAAAAAACGAAAGGATATGTAAATTTCATATTAGGTTAACTTTGAACTTTATATACTTACGGTTCTTAGAATTCGATCTTGCCTATTATAAAAATAAAAGGTTTTAAAAAGGGTAAAACGCGAAAATTCTACAAATTTAACGCTATCGTAACGTACATATGCTCTCTTAAACAAAGTATATAATTGTCTTCATTCTTTTCCTTGGAAATGATCCATCTACGTTTTGCTTCATCAGTTTTAATGACTTCACCAGCATATTCACAAACGAAATCACCTTTACGAATTCTATTTATATGAGATTTTACACCCCATCCGCATCCAGAATCACATTTGAAAATTTGTAGGGGAAACGATACTCCGCGTTGCACCAATCGATTGGTACATTTATCAGGAGTGCATGTGCAATTAGCGTTACATTCGTACAAGGAAATATTTGTGGATGTAGATTCAGGTTGAAGGAAAGTTGGATTCAATCCGTTTGACGTATAAAAGAATCCTTCAGAAACAAAAAAAAAAATTGTAAATTGTTGATTCAAGAATCAGGGAATAGAAACAAGAAATTAAATATACCATGAGCCGATTTACAACCACAATCTTCAGATTCGCAGTTGTCTTTACAGTCGCACCCATCATAATATGGAATCGTACATGAAGTTACACAATGAACCACATACTGCGGCAACGAAAGTAATTTTTTTTATAAATTTACGTATCGAGAATTACAGTAAAAACAAAAAATAACAATTTTTTTTTTTACTTTGTGAAATGCATTTTGTAATTCTTCGAATTCTTTAATATCATCATAAATTAATGAAATGGGACATCTTTCTAAACCATTCGATATATCCTCAATGATAAATTCTCGATCCTCTTTAATCGTCATATCCCTAAACATTTATGTATTTATGTATGTATCTATAAGGTGGATTTGACAAAACTTTCCTTTGATAAGTTTCTAAACTAAAATGATACTTTGTATTACAAAATTACATTTAAAAAATACCCAAGGAATTTTATTACCATATAAGGAATGAAACTTGCAACAGATTTAACCAATAATTTAGTTACACATTATCTCGAATTTTTAATTTCTCTCTTTGAAAATATTCTACTTTTTTCAAACGAAAATAAAACAATTCAACCTGTTGAAAGTATTTAAATATGGTGCTTTCGCTTGGACAAATTATTTATGTTATATTGTTGGTGATAAATGCTATGGCGATATTAAATGAAGAACGATTTCTTTCACGAAGTAAGTATTTTAAAAGTTTAGCAATTTTTAAAACGTGGAAAAAAAATGGTACTAGTTTCTGAAGGGATTCTTTTAACATAATTTTTGTTATCATAATCACATCCGATCCTTTACTTCGTTTTCATCTCTGGTCTTTGATGTATCATAAAGTTGGAATGATTAGTCAACCGGATTCGGGATTTGGAGATGGACCGACATTTAAAACAAAAATTGTAAACCTTATATCAGCGGTTAGAACTTTAACAAGAAGTAAGTAATTTGATTGATGTACGTTTAAAATAAATCTTAAATTTATTAATGAATGAATTAACTTTTCCTTTATTTATGATCGTATAGTTCCTTTGATCGGTGTTAATATCATTATTATAATCTATGAAATATTGCTAGGATAATCTGTAAATTAGCATAAATAGCATGAGAATGAGCATGAAAAGAAATTAGAAGAAAGGGTTTATTTATTATTCCAAAAATCAACCGTAATTCATGCAAAGGACGGACTTTTTTTTAATCCGATTTTCAGCAAGAAAGATTTAAAGCAATTATTAATGTCAAAAAAGAAAATTAAAAAAAGAGGAAAAAAAATATATATATATAATAATCTTTGCTTGGGTATATTTTATAAACAATTTAATAAATTTTTAACCATGCATATGTCGTGTAACAACACTAAGTAATGGAACAGATCATTACTATAAAATCGTTTCATTAAAAATATTTCTTATATCGAATACTTACTTTACTTACTTACTTACTTACCTTCATTACAAATACTTCACCTTACTGTAAACGGAATGATTTGGTTAGATAAAATAAAAATTAAATTCAAATAGAGATTGAGAAATAAAATAAAGAGGTTTCAATATATTATAAATCATTTAATAAGGTATGATAAAAGTGAATAACGTTGTATGTAGGATAAACGATTTCCTCATTAAAATCATATATATATTAAATAGGGAAAATTAATAAAGGAGGAAACTTTTTACTTGCAGTGATTTTTTATTTTAAGGAAAATTACAGTGATAATGAAAAAAAAAAAATTAAAAAAAAAAATAAAGGGGAAAATGTAGGGTGAAAGAATATAAAAAAGGGAATACAATAAAAAAAAATTGTAACCAAGAATGAAAACGAGATGCACTATTTATGAAACACAAACCAATAGTCTATTTCATATTACCAAAGGACTTTACAAATTTGTTTATAGTGTAAAACATCAAAGTGTAAAATAACAATAATAATAGAAAAGAATTGGGGGGAAAAAAGGGACAGCCGATTTAAAAAAAAAAAATGGCTTGGTAAATGGGTGGATTTTAAAGGGATTTCAAATGTTCTAAATGGGGAAACCAAATAAAAGGGGATGATGTGTTAAAACAAGGGGATGGGGATGAAAATAACAGGAAGCATTTGAAGCATAATTTGGGTCAATGGGGTTCATCTAACCAAGATAGATTTGACCCGAATGTTTTGCAGTTGCACTTCCATAACGGATGAGAAGGAAGCGGAGCGAGTATAGGATGATGGAGCAGATTCATGCCACGAACAAGTTGAAATTATTGACTTGCGCGCTTAACCATCTAGGATTAAAATGTGAAAAAGTTTTTAAAAAAAAAAGTTAATAAAAAATCTATCATACTATAATTAAGCATAAAGGAAAATTTACCTCCTTAGCCCATCGAGTAACTTCTTTTGTACCATTAGGCAAATTGCGATTAGTTCGACCTTCCTTTAATGCAGCATTAACAAAATCGGCCACGAACCATTGTTTGATTTGGCCGCTTTGGAAAGCTTCAGCTAGATCACTAATTAATGTTAAATAATAAATAAACATTTTTTTAATTTCTTTCGGAATCTTTATGACGAGAAAAATTGCAATCATATAATCATTAAATACCGACCCGATTAAACCAATCATGCTACGGACAATAATCTCTGATCTATCAATATCATTCCAAGTCATCGCCAAGAAATTAAAGATTTGTTCGATGTAACGTAAGAGTAATTCAGCTGTAACGAATTCAATAAAATAAATTTAACGTGTTTTTACTTAAATGAATGAAATAATCACAAATTGTTCATTACTAACCTTTTTCACCCGACTTTAACCCTTGTACGATACCAACATATGCTTCAAGTATTCCTTCACGCAACGCCATCACATAGTCGATCATGTCATAATTAGCCTAAACATAATATACGTATACATATATTAGTACGTTTGATTTACTTTAAATTTATTCTTTAATTAACACCCAACCTACATCCTTAGCTGTACGCATTGTACTAGCTTGGGCAAGGACCATCATCACCACTTCCAAATACACTTCGAACTTTCCTCCAATAGCGAGGGCAATATCGCCAAAACAAGACAAGACTGCGGGTTTGGTGTTCCTGTTCAATATAGGACTCTAGAGAGAATGAAAGTCAAATATTAATAATGATGATAAATCTTAAAAAAAACCTAAAATAAAAGAAAAATCAAATACTTGAAGCATTTGCAATAACATGTTCATAAATGTATCACAATATGGCAATGAAGTCTCTTGGAGGGCACGACAGATATCACCAATAAGTCCAACGGCAATCGAGCAAAGAGCATATTCCTCATGGTTCGAAAGTGCAGCATAAAGGAATGGTGCGAAAGCGTCAAGATATCTGACGAAGTCAGCTTCCACAGCTATCAAATTACAATTATATTGTTGGTATGAACGATAAAATTTAAGGTTTATACAAATAAGTTGACGTACCTGTAGTGATGGCACCTACAGCTAAAAATCCGTCTTCTAATGTTGTAGAATGTTTTGTTGATGAAGTAAACAATGATAATAATGTAGTCATAATTCTATCAGCGAATGGCACCACTTCTTGTTTCAATTTGCGGATTATACTCTGAAAAATTAAATTAAATGTAATTTTGCTTGTTTTAGATTTAAATTTTTAAATTTTTTTTTGGAAAAAAAAATGGTAAACAGAAGAAATCATAACATCAACAAACCGTTAAGACACTACAGAGATTTGATTGAAGTTCTGAATGAGCATGACGTTCGTCACTGCCTACAATTTGAGTCTAAATAGAAACGAATAAAGTTATGATATGTATGGTGTTGTAGCAGAACTTAAATTTGCTTATATATAATATTCATACTGTTGCTTGAATAGTGGCATCCAATCTATCAAGTATAGTGACCGTCAGCTTTTGGATGGTCGAAAAACAGTCCTAATAAAAATAAAACAGCATAAATATATCTATAGAAACAAAAGTATAAAATGAAAGTATGATAATCATAAAATAATAAAAATAAAAATAATATAGTTGTGTGGTTGATATGAAGGTGGGCACGAATAGACACTAGCCACAATTGATCATTCCTTTGTAAAGAAATGTTGCTAAATCGCTACCAAAGATCATTTATTGTAACGATTTTGCGAATATTTACCAATGCGGCCCCTTGCACCAGAGTGGAGATGCATTCATAAGCCGATGTTCGCGAGTTAGATTCATTGGTTGACCTTAATGAAAATAACACGCAAAACCAGCAAGTTTAAACATAAAATAGGATAGGATTATCAGGGAAATATACAATGGTAATAAAAGAAAAGGAAATAAATTTTTTTTTTAAAGATGATTTTAGCAAATGTCACAAATACCTCTCTGTGGTTTCCATCAGAGCCGAAATAATGCCCTCATAAAAAGGAGATAAAGCATAGGTCGGTAAAGAAGATTCTCTGCTACCAAACTGATCAGACAAGCTCATCAGTGCCTAAAAAAGGAAAGTTAAAAAAATTAATTCATTAATAATAATTAGTGGAATACAACAATATATAATTATATTGCATACCCAGCAACAATTTGAGACAATTCTTGGTGAATCTCTTAATCCCAAGACAAGTGCGGAAATAAGGCTTTGAAGATGTTCATCAGGCTTAATACATTCAATCAACAATTCTGAAACACGCCCGAGTGTCCAAGCAGTTGTATCTTTAACCTGAGCTGAGTCGTCCTTCATCATGTCAATCAGGACTGGTAAAGCTTGGTTCACCAAATTAGCTAACAGTTTGTGCTCGGGGCCTTCTAAAATAGATCCAAAGGCCATAATAGCTGCTTCCCGAAAACGCCAATCAGCACTACGAATATGACTTTCTACGAACGGAATCACGGGCGTAACTATGGCATCCTCAACGCATTGAGCCAAAAGCGATAAACAAGTTCCAGCGGCCATTGCAACATTCCAATCGTCTTCATCAGCTTCTTCTTCCTGTAAACAACAAATTCATTGGTAACCAAATCAATTCATCACGATATTAGATGCAACAATGGGACATACTTGTTTGGTGAGAAGCCAAAGCAAGACGGGTAATATTTCAGGTAAAGCAGCTTTTGCAAAGTTGTGACTTAAGCGATCTGGGGTCTCTCCTGCATCCGAGGCCTATTACCAAGGAAATACCCAATTAAAAAATTTTCAAAAAAGCAATAACAAAAAAAACATATTTATTCAAATACAAACCTCTATAGCTTCATTAGCTAATTCGATTTCCTCGTCACATACTGTTGACCAGAATTCGACGGCTTGCAAAGCAACTCTTTCATCTTCACTTTTCATTCCAAGGACGGTCAACTGATATTTAAGTAGGCAAGTGATTATTAGCATGATGAAACAAAATAATACTACATGATAGAGGTGAAGCGATACTCACACCAAATAAAGCCTTTTCCATATAAAATCTCATCTTATCATAATAAATCTGCATTATTCTAACCAAACATTCAAAGGCAGCAACTTGCACATTTACATCAGAGCTTTGTGTGGCTTCACATACAATTTGCATAATGTAATTACGTTCGCCCTTAATTATAATGATCGAGTTATCAAATTTAAACAAAACTCTTTAAGGTAGACATGAAAAGCGACTAAAAAAAAATCTTTACCTCGCGTTCAAAATTATCCCGAATAAACTCGAGCGAGTTGTAAAGAGCATCAACTGCAGCTTTACGAACATCTTGACTTTATGTAGATAATAATAAATTAAAAATTTTACTTAAAAAAGATACAATGACTCGAAAACAAATATCGTTCCGTGTTCTTACTTGGGTTCCTCTTTTTTGGCACCTGATACAACTGCAGTAAGAATTGCCCCAGCTTGCGGTGCCAAAATAATAGGATCCTAGCGACAAAGTCAATCAATATGATATTAATATTTAATGACGAAACATACACGTGTGAAATCAAATAACTTACGATCAATTCACAAATATAACCAATCGCGGTTAGAGTAGCTATCTTGAGGGTACTGTTATTAGTTGTGGTAACATTTTCCAACAAATTTTTCATTAAATCAGGCCATTGATTTTCCATAGGAAGTTCGATAGCTCCAATCGCAGCAATAACCTATGAAACAAATGGTTTTTGTGAATTTTTATTATCAACATTTAAAAATTCTTCATCAATTATTCGATTAACACGTACCTGTGCAGCTGTGGTAGCAGCTCTTGTGTCTGAAGATGCCAACGTAGATAGTACCTGCAAATTATTTTAATTACATCAGATTACATAATCAATTATAAATCTACCTATGTTACAAAAAATGCTAAAATACCGCTTGTTTAATTTGTTGTCTCGTTGCCTCGTCCACCGACAACCATCTTTGTATCATTTCATTTCTTCTGGACGCCTCCTGCAATAAACCGAGAAATAAAATTAAATTCGGTTAAAAAAGACAAAAGATAATATATTTATATATCAACGATAATCTAAAAATTAAATCCTCACCGACGAGGACAGAGTATTTTTCAAAGCTATACCAGCCGCGTTTCGAGTATATTGTGACGACTGTTCATTTGCAAGCTCTTGACAGAGCATCGCAACATACATGGGCTAAAGTATTAAAAAAGTTGATAAGTTAAATATAATCAGGTATTAATTATAACGCGTTGTGAAATTAATTATCATATATAGGATAACATGAAAACGAGCAATAATTACAAAGTTGGTCGTTTCTGCTTGTTCAAGTTGTCTTTGGGCATCTTCACGAGTTTTCTGATCTGTGTGAAATAACGAAAAGGTTGATTAAACATGATAAAAATTAAAGCCATTCGAGATGCCGAGGCGCAGTCATTCGCATAATTGAACTCTCGACCTTTTATCATAACGCGGATTTTTCTAGAATAAAATCAACTTACCGCCCGAAAGTGTGTTTGTTAAAAGTTCCCCAATGCTGAGCATCGTAAAAGAATGCAACTTTATAGAATTTATATAAAGTATTGAAGAGAAAAAAAATTTTTTTTTTTTTTAAGCTATATATTAAACAGTAGCTTTATTTTAAAGTTGTTAAATATTTAAATGTATATTAGTATACTTGTAATCCAATAGGTTCAAATAAGTGATCGCGCAAAAGTCAGGTAATTTTTATTGAAGATTTTAAAAAGAACCTGAACGAGAAAATATTTTTTGCTTTATTTCAAATTTTTCGCGTTAAACAAGGAAGGAATTGTCATACATACATATGCTTTAAACTCGATACAATTATAAATTTTGACTGACACTTTGATCTAATTCAGCCCTACTTTATTTATCAAATCACTGTCCCCAAAAAAGTTTCGCGATCTAAAAAGCTAAGCCACTGGTCCTAAAAGTTGGGCCCAAATTAGGAGTCTAGACTAAAATTACGATCTAACCATTTTAATTTCAATATAAGTTACAGGAAAAAATTATTTCTTTTGATCTTTCCCAGACTCTCGTTAATCTTTGAACAAAAGAAAAGGTAAAGCATCCATTGAAAATAAAAGGTTATTTTATTATAATTAATTACATATTTTAATTATCTAATTTGTACAATTAAAACATTGTATATTTTGCAGCTAATTAATCAAAGATGAGAGCAAAGTGGAAGAAAAAGCGAACCAGGCGCCTTAAACGTAAAAGAAGAAAAATGCGCGCACGTTCTAAGGTAAATACAATTCTTTATCAATTTTATAAATTGTTCTTTAATTCCTGTAAAAACTTCTAATCTAAAAACCAAAATAAACTGTTATTATTAATAAATAGTAAACTACTTTACGGCAATCGAACAATCTTCAAAGATTCCTTTGAAGAAGCGATCGTCGTAAGATGCTGCTGGTCAAGGGAATATATAACAAAAATACGGAATATTTCATAAAATTTTCTACAATCAAATAATAAAAATAAAATTTTCAAAGTTTACGAAATGTATATAAAAAATCAGAAAATTTTTTTCATTTTCAAAATTTTTTTTTTTTTTTTTTTTTTTAAAAAAAAAATAATTTACAGATTTATATTTTTATTTTTTTGATGTTGTTACTGGCGTTGAACTTTTCAAATTTTGCAACAAAGCTTCATAAAACATTTTTTTTTCTGAAAGGTTATAAGAAGGATTCTGACCTATGACTTTTTGTAAAGAATTAGATAAATTATTGTCAAGGTTGAAATTTCCTTGCATAGATTTTGGAAATGAAAGGTAACGATCATAATCACCACCCTCCAATTCTAACCGTTTTGCCGCTTGTTCCTCTTGACTATTCTCCAAAGTATTTGGAACTAATTTGTTCGTACTTGAATTGATAAAATTCGACCAATTGATATCTTGCACCACAAAATCAGTTTGTCGCGGTGGTGGTAATCTTGACCGGGGTTCCGATTTTCTTTTATATCGGTTCCTTTGATTCATCTTTGAATCGTTCCGTGACGAATTATTCATTAATGTTTTGTGCGTTCCTCGATTATTATCTGGTTTTCGTTGGTTAGCACTTCCTTCGCGAATTAATGGTGGTGGTGGTGATGATGATTTATATTCTTCATACATCTGTTTAAGTGGTTCTTGAATTGGCTCGGCTAAAGATTGAAATGTTTTTTTCCCTTCCTCAATCGCATCATCAAATTGACCGGGTCGAACAGTTACCTTTGTCTCCTTTGTCTCAAACCTTTTATTACCGTTTACTTCGGAATTATTTCTTAACCTCTGACTTAAAGAGATAGATTTTCCTCCAAGGGTAATTTGATCCATTGAACCGCGACCGAGACCAGTAGAAAATAAAGCATTTTGATTAAAAGATGAAGAAGCTACATAAACAAGGCTAGTATGGTGACTTAATGGGCGAAGCATTTTTTTTCGAAACGATATATATTTTTTTTTTTTTAACAATCTCTTTGTGTGATTCTTATTGGATGATAACAAAAATCATGTGAAGAATAAATGAGTTGTTCCCAAGTTACATGTATGTTATATTTTGAATTTATTTATCGACCCAAATTAAGACAAAAAGAAAATTTATAAGACGTAAATGATTGCGGTACCACTAATAATATATCCTCTCTTTTAAACCTCCCGATTCATAATTAATTTTAAAATTCTCTTACCACAATGAAGAAAAAAATTCAAGAAACACCCCTACAAGAACAAAATTGTGTTCTAGTTGATAACTTTGCCATCTTTGTTCAACTCCTATTAGGGGCAATTGCATTCTCAACCCTCATTTATAAAAGACACAGAGAGAGACCACAAAGACCATTACGTATATGGTAAGTCCCACATCGAGTAGAATTCGTATTGAATCAAAAAAAAAAGTTGAGCGCATTAATGAATTCTTTATATTTTTTTTTTTTTGTTTCACTTCTTTTTTTAAAAATAGGTTTTACGATGTGAGCAAGCAATTACTAGGAGCTGCAATAGTGCATGGGTTAAACATTATCGTATCATATTTAGCGGGCTCAATTGATGAAGGCGATACAAATCCTTGTGTATGGTAAGTGCCAAATCAAACGGATTTTCTCCTCGTATCATAATTAATCGATCATACACTAACTCATCGAAACCGATCGTTATTTAGGTACTTCCTTAATATATTTATAGATTGTACCTTGGGCGTATTTATATTATATGTGCTTATAAAGTCTTTAGAGTTCATAGTGGTCAATGTTGGCATAGAAGGTAAATTTCAATTACATAACTAATGAACGTATTTAAGTTAATGCTAATAAATTTATCTGATTCATTAGGCATGAAGAGTGGAGATTATGGACACCCACCAAATGTGAATTTGTGGATGAGACAAACAATAGCATTTATATGTTGTTTGTTTATCATGAAAGTAATCGTTTTAATAATTTTCCAATTATTCCCAGTATTATTTGATATAGGAGTATGGTTACTTGGATGGGCATTATTTGATGCAAAATTACAAGTTGTATTCGTTATGTTAATATTTCCATTAATTATGAACATTTTACAATTTTGGCTTGTTGATCAAGTTATAAAGAAAAAATTGGAACATCTTAAATTAGAAGATGATGATTATGGCATTGAAGATGTATTCCTTTCGGGAGAACTTAGTGATGATGATGATGAAAGGGGAGAGATCAATTATAATGCAAGTTTGCCTTCTTATAAAGAAGACGATGGTAGTTGTGTAAGTATTTCTTCTAATACTGCTATACTCGCAAGAGAAACATTTTCAAACGATAAAGATAAATTTAGTGGAGGAAATGATGGTATACCTGATAGTTTCATTGAATTACGAAAAACTCCATCACCTAGCACGATGAGAGATGGTTACTTTAATTATAAGAAATAATTTTTTTTAACAAATTTATTGACCCTCCCCCTTTTTTTTGATGTTACTTTCCCTTTTCTTTTTTTGTACAATAATATATTTAGAAATTCTCTCTTTAAATATTAATTTTATAATATTGAAATTATTGCTTAAAAATATATTTGTAATACAAAACATGTAAAATAGGTTAAACCCCATATTGATTTAAAAATTAAATTTGACGTTTAGATTAATGATATTCTTGAAAAAATGGTATATTTTTTTAATAATTCATCTAATTAACAGTCCTTAATTGATTGACCAAATTAATTTTATATTTATCTTCAAACGTCGGAAATGCCCTTATAAATGATCTATCATCAGTAAATCATATCCCAAGTCTTCCAATAATCATCAATATACACGTAATTATCTAACCCAAAGTATTCGAACACAGATCATAAACAGCGTTCCTATAATTTCAATAGAAAATCCGAACCTTTAATTAAAGTATAAAATTCGCGTTCCTCTTACATCAAAGGTAATTTATCAATATAAAAAAAAGCGGGGGTTTATTAACGAGTTTTTTTATAATGCGGGAATAAGAAGAAAAATTGACTAATAAATAATAAAAAATAATAATATAATAAATTTTGATAATACCATTAAAAAGCGGCAAATTCCGTCCAATATATACTATTATATAACATACACAGATAGCCCGCATATCAAGAAATCGGATTAAACCTTCAAAAATCATTATGAATAAAGAATCATATCAAGGTCCACAAGGAGGTCCACCACCTCCTCCAGGTCCTGTAAATCAAGCAACACCAAGAGCAAGCGATAATGCCGCAAAAATGTTATATAATTGTGCAGGTGATTTAATATGTTATTCCTCACTATTTGTATAGAAAATCATTACTTGACAATTTTTGGGGGATGGTTCTGCATTTTCTAAATTTGTCTTCAAATAAGATTGTGGAGCAGAAAATGAAATAAGACCAAAAGAACCTTTACGTTGTAAGGAATGTGGACATAGAATTATGTATAAACAACGAACAAAAAAGAGTAAGTTTTTTCTTATTGAAATAAAAATGATTATAATTATTTTCTAATATTTCCATCTTTTTAAACAATTAAGTGGTCCAATTTGAAGCTCGTTAATAAATCCTAATAAATTTTGGCTTAATTTTATAAATTTTATTTTTTCACTTAAGAAATTTTACAATTATAATAATAAAACAAAAAAAATGTTATAATGATATTTTTCGTTTGCCTGAAATTATTTTTAATTAATTTTTACACAACCCAAATGTTTTTTTTTAATAAAACCAAAATCTCTCATCTTACTAAGTAAAAAAATACAAAAAATATAAAAATATATCAATACAAAGTATAAAAAAGAATAATCTTTATGTATAGTATAAATCAAAACTTGAAAAAGTAAGAAAAGGTAATTTGATTAAATGAAGCAAATCAATTAAATTTACATTATTTCAAGCTTCTTATTATAAAGAAATGCAGAATGGATTTATTATATAAAAAAAAGGAAAAAAAAAATGTATTATATTTTAATTTATCTCAATAGTTTCTTTTCTTAACTACTATTCAATTAATTAACATTTGACGTCACCGCCACTTGCTTTGGTATTTAGAATAAGACCCACAATTAAACCATAAAGACCTAATACTTCAGCGAAAATGAGAATAAGGATCTATTTTCATAAAATGAAAAAAAAGTTTTTGTCAGGTTTCAAAAAAAAAAAAAGAGGAATCAATCGTTAAGAAAGTTAATACTTAAGTGTACTTACCATACCAACGAATAATCTAGGTTGTTGTGCGGTAGCACGTACACCGGCATCACCAACTACACCAATAGCAAATCCGGCTGCAAGACCAGCAAGACCGACACTTAGTCCGGCTCCAAGCTGAATAAATCCACTACAAAAATTAATAATTTGTGATTGTTAATAACTAAATAACAAAAAATTACAAAGAATTTTTTTTTTAAAAAAAAAGGTTGAGTAAACTTACGTAAATAAAGCCATTTCTTGTTTGACTTTAAAAATATATCGAATAAATGACAAAAACAATATAAATATCAAGCGAATTGGATTGAATTCATTAAATTAATTGAAAGAATAATACTTACGACCATCAGAAATTAAGACGGATACGACCAGCCCGTAAATACCAATAATACCAGCCATAACAATTGGAACAATGGCTTTCATAACCAAATCAGGACGTAAGACACCCATAGCCGATAACCCTACACCAGCTTTTGCTGTGCCATATGCTGCTCCAAAACCTTTAGAGCAAATTATAAATTAATACATAGAATTTCATGTAAAATAAATTCACTTTTTAAAGAAATCTGAATTTTTAACAGCATGGTCGAATATTCTCTTAAAGAGAGAAATACTTTTATCCTACATCTTTAGAATTCATGCAACAAATAACGTCCTTTAAGTCGAGTAAAAGAAATATTACTTACAGGTAAATACAATAGCAGAAGTACATCCCAGGGCACCAAATATTGGGGCATAGACGGGACTATTTTGTTTTATTATAATGAAATTAAAAACATTAGTTAAAGGAAAAGAACGAATTAAACATGATGTTGTACTAATACCCACCAATAGTTAGGTGTTGGTGCTGGTGCGGCCATTTTATTATTTTATTATAAGCTGGGTTTTTAAAAGATTAAAAAATAAAGCGTTGAGAAAAAAATTTTTTAAAAAGGTAGGTAATTCGTGATAAGAGGTTAGGAGGAAGAAATTAAACAAACAGCAAAGAATCAGTTCGTTAATGAAGAAAAGAAAAAAAACCCGATTTTTTAAATAAAATTCCTACGTTTTTTAATTTGAGAGATTGAATTTTTGTGGAATGGGATTGTAGTTTTTAGGTACTGAGATGAAAGATGATAGATAAAGATATTTCATTGGCCAAGTCAGCTTAATTAGGGCAACGTCATAAGTTACACGTTAAACAAATAATTGACGCCCAAAAAATATAATCTTGATTGTGTATTGATCATACAGATTTATTTTTTTCTTCTTTCTCAAATGATTATAATTAAGATCAAAAAATACATTCATCAGTGATCTTTGATAAAAAAAAAAGCCTTGATAACTTTTTTTTCCGACATCAAATCTATCGACTTTCATTATACTTCTTGCATGGGCTTCTCCGTTACTTTACTCCAATATTTTAAATTAAATAATTTAAATACATATATATTATTATATTTTTGAAAATTTATCGTGATGGACGATAGGATTGAAAATTTGATTGGAATATTAACCGATAATGCGGGAACGAAAATTATTTATTAATTTTTACAATTATATAAGTAATAAAATGTTTTCATCTTCATTTTGTATATCATTCTCATCTGTTTCCATGGGAATAGAATCATTTTGTTGGTATTTTATCGCGTGTGGTCTTGAATCATTCATATATTCTTTAAAAGCATTTAAAGCTTGCTAGAATGTATTAACAAAATTAGTTTATCATACTATTATTAATTAATTAGTCGATTAAGGTGAATTTCGAACCTGATAAGCATCTTTCATAGGGTCAAGCAAAGTCGCCTTGATATTTATATTTTGAACCTTATCTAAATGTCCTGCTTTCCTTAACATATCTTTGAAATATCTTACCTGATGATTTTACAAGAGAAAGATAAGTAAATTAAACCTTTATCTTGATGTGGTAATGAAGCATTTTTCTTACCTCTTGTGTTTCAACAAGACTATATGCATCCCCATTACGCCCAGCACGCGCAGTTCTACCAACACGATGTACATACTTTTTCATATAAATAGGGTTATCATAATTAATCACTGTATCCACTCTATCTAAGTCCATGCCTCGAGCTATCAAATCCGAGCATATTAATCTATCAAAAAGTTCCCGTTAGAATCGAGTTACTGAATGATTTATTTTGGAGTTATTTATACTCACAAACGAATATCGCCACGTTTGAACTTATTTAAAATATTTTTCCTTTCATCTTTTGTTAGATCACTCGAATATTCTGCCGCAATTATCGATCCCGTAGAAATAATCATATTATCGTTTTCTTGTATGGACTCTTTGAAATTCGAATTCTCAAATAATTGAATTAATTTAGCAAGTCTATGCGCGGAGTCTACGGATTTTGTAAAGCAAAGTGCAGATTTTATATGGAGATTGTGAAGAAGGTGAAGAACAATGAGAGGTTTCATTGACGATGACGTAACGATCATGAATTCCTACAAAATAACGGGTCAAATAAAATTCTTTTAAACGCAGAGATTTTAATAAATTGTAGAACGATCTTACTTTCAATGTAGTTGGAAGTGTATATTTGATTTCGCCTTCCTCTTTATTTAAGGATTGAACAGAAATATATTGTGGATTAACCAAGCGTAAACTTGCAATTTTGGCTGGGTTACGTGTGAGAGTTGCTGAAAATAACAACTTCTGAACCTTTTCGCCATAATTGAATAAAAAAACGTAAAACTTAAGCATTCGGTGGGGTTCATTTTAAACAAGGCAACCTACCGCAGACACTTTTGTTTCCGAAGCATCCATTTTCGGGAGATTAAATAAAGCACCCATAATCGAAGACGATATCGCGTCATCATTATTAAACGAGGCTCTAAATATAACAACCCAAGTCAACTATGGATTTTGCAAATGATATACAAGTCGTGAAAACCAACCCAATAGAATCAAGGTTAATTCCAATTGTATCTTTCCCACTTTCCACACTGTTTATTTGCTGTGTAGACCTAAGGATATGGATCAACCAATCCTGATAACTTTGATTAAGTAACCGATCGGCTTCATCGATAATCTATGAAAATTTCAAGTCAATAATAGAATAAAATATAAAAAATAAAATAGCTATGATAAAATTACGCACCAGAAATCGTAAATGCTGTAAAGTAAAATTGGGCGTCATTGACAAATGCTCAATTAATCGACCAGGTGTTGCTATTAATATATCAATCTTACTTTTCCCTCCCATAAGTCTATAGGTTAAGATTGCGTTAATTATGATACCAATTTGCAACAATACGTTTTGAAATACTGACTCACAATTCCGACGAACTAAAAACTATTTGTTCTTGTTCATGGATGAACGACTGTTGACCCGTCACTACGCCTATCTTAAAGTCGAATATTTTGAATTTTAATTTCAGTCATATAAAATGCGATTAAAAGAATTTAAAACATGAAAGATCACCTTCAAAGATGTTCCTTTACAGAAAGCGATAAAGGTTTCTTTAACTTGTGCTACCAAATCCCTGGTTGGGAGAACAACAAGCGCTCTTAAACGTGTTATTATGCGTTTGGAAAGAATCTAACATTTTGACAATCAGCATTTTAGATATTAGAATCATTGTCCCAATCGATTATGAATATATCGTACCTCAATAATAGGAAGAACGTAGGCAAGTGTTTTCCCACTTCCCGTTGGAGCAGAGACGCAAATATCACCAGGATGCATATGAACATCTGATAATCTTCGATTGTGTATCAACAAAGGAATGACTGCTGTCTGAACTATGTGAAACAAATTGAAATTATAGGAATTAATTGATTTCGTCAAAGGAACGCTGTATATTGGTATTTCAAAATCAAATAATTAATCACTAATGAATTGTTAACCTGCAAAACATTCATTGATTCCTAATGTTTTACATCGATTTCTCAATCGATCAGATAACCCGAGAGATGAATCGTCAATTGGGAGCGTTGTTTCTGGGTCGATGACGGTAGGATTTGCCAGCCAGTCTGGTATTCCCAGTAACTTGACGGCAGCTGTTTCTTGAGGTGTCTGTTTTGGCTTATCAAAAGTTGGAAAGGCATGCAATACTTTAAAATCTTCAATGTGCCCCTCTTCGTATTGTTCTTGGTGTATTAGGTTTAGGTTTAATCCTTCATCTTCTAGTTCATTTTCTTTAATTATTGTATCAATTTCAAAAGTATTTGTAATATCTTCATTATTCTTTGCATTTCCCTTGTGACTTTCCGGTTGTACGGTTTTTTTCAGGTCCGCTTGCGTTTTTTTGGAAGCCTTTTCTTTTGTGGTACGTTTTCTCTTAAATTTATCATTGATTTTAACTAAGCGTTCATTCGCCAAGGAGGAATTTCCTTGCGAGGATTCTTCTTCATATCTTTGTATTTGAAACATCATACAAATAGATAGACGAATCAAAAAAAAAAAAACTCGAAAATTTTTTGAGATAATCAGGTTTTTGATAATCTAAACAAAATTTCGATAATCAAATAGCATTCAACTTTTGCAAAGTTCGTTCGAAGTTAATTATGTCTCAACAAGGTATGTTCAAAAACAATATATATATATTATTCTTTTCGGGAACAATGAAAAGGCTGACGAAGCGTAAATAAATGGCGCAGTAATTCACAAAATTTTTAATAAATCAATTTCTAAAAAAGCAATACTCTCGGTTTATGATAAAACTGGCTTGATTGAGCTTGCAAAGGAACTTAATGACCTAAATGTGCGTCTCATTGGTTCCGGTGGAACAGCCAAAAAGGTCCGGGAAGCTGGTATTCCTATCTCGTATGTAATCAATACTCATAAAAATATTATAATTATAAGGAATTTATCAATCAAATTTTTTTTTTATAAAAAAAATCATGCTAATTAATAATTAGGGATGTATCTGAGATAACGAACGCTCCTGAAATATTAGGTGGCCGTGTTAAAACCTTACACCCTGCAGTTCACGGTGGTTCGTATTTAAACATCACGTGGTAAGTATAAATATGCTTTCTATTAATGATTAATTAATGAATTGCAGGTATCCTCGCTCGCAATATTCCGAGCGATGAAGCTGATCTTGTTAAACAAAATATCAATAAGATCGATATTGTCGTATGCAACCTTTATCCTTTCAAGGAAACAATAGCAAAAGAAGGTATCAGCATGGCAGATGCTGTTGAAGAAATTGATATTGGTGAAGATCGATTCAATATTTACTCTTTTGAACAAGCATTATGAGCAAGAATAGTTGATTCATGTTCATATTAATTTCGTTAGGCGGTGTTACCTTGCTGAGAGCTGCGGCAAAAAACCATGCTCGTGTTACGATCCTTTCCGATCCCAAAGATTACTCTAAACTCATAGCTGAACTAAAGAGTGGAGGCGTTTCCGAAAACTCGCGTCAATTATTCGCTTTAAAGGTAAAGACAATTCATTATATATTTATTATAAGGTCATTATTCGGATTGTATGTTAACTTGAACGTATGTAGGCTTTCAATCATACAGCTGATTATGATGAAGCAATATCCGATTATTTCCGGCAACAATACACCAAGGATATTTCGCAGCTAACCTTGCGATATGGCACAAACCCACATCAAAAACCTGCCCAAGTCTTTGTAAAAGACGGACAACTTCCAATTAAAGGTTTAATTTATTTTCATGTAATAGAAAGGATTACTTAGATATCTGGTAATATTGTTGATTATCAAAATATTTTTTAGTTTTATCTGGATCACTTGGTTATATCAACCTTCTCGATGCTCTTAATGGATGGCCTTTAGTCAAGGTTCTTGTGACTTTCACATTCAAAATTTGAATCGTAAAACAATGTTAACACTAATTTCATATGTTAGGAATTGAAAGCTGCCCTTAAGCTTCCTGCTGCCGCTTCATTTAAGCACGTTTCTCCTGCTGGAGCTGCAGTTGGGATTCCCTTGAGTGATATTGAGAAAAAGGTTTATTTTGTAAATGATCTAAAAGAATTATCACCCTTGGCCAATGCGTATGCTCGTGCCCGAGGTGATTTAAGTTTTCTATATCCTCTACAATAGCTTTCTAAGCATTCTAACGGGCAATTAATCCTAGGTGCGGATAGAATGTCTTCTTTTGGAGATTGGATCGCCTTGAGTGATACTGTTGATGTACCCACCGCAAAAATTATATCACGTGAGGTATGTTGATGTGAGTTTATACAGACCGTCTCTATACCATACCAATTTTATGTTAACTTGTAGGTATCTGATGGTATAATCGCACCTAGTTACGAAGCTGAAGCTCTTGAAATCCTAAAAAAGAAAAAGGGCGGGAAATATACCGTTGTTCAGGTCTGTTACATTGATCAAATCTTTTAATATGATTATGTAGAAAATTTAAATGTACTATGATATTATAATAGATTGATTCTAATTATGAACCACCTGAATTTGAAACACGTCAAGTTTACGGATTAAATCTAAAGCAAAAACGTAACAAAGTTCAAATTGACGCGAAATTATTTGAAAACGTTACAACAAAGAATCAAAATGTAAGCAAGTTTCTACTTATTACAGTAAACTTTCTTATTATGAACGTGATTTTTAATCGGCATAAACGTTTAGCTTCCCGAATCAGCAATTACCGATTTGCTTGTTGCTACGATCGCTTTGAAGTATACGCAGTCAAATTCTGTATGCTATGCAAAAAATGGTATGGTAATTGGATTGGGTGCCGGACAACAATCGCGTATCCACTGTACAAGGCTGGCGGGAGATAAGGCAGATAATTGGTGGTTACGTCATCATCCAAAAGTTGTGGGTTTTGATTTCAAGAAAGAATCCAAAAGGGCTGACAAGAGTAATGCAATCGACTTGTATATTCTTGATAAGATTGGCGAGGTGATACAAAATTATTGGACGCATGGTTTTTTTCTTTGATACATTTGATTTTAATGCTTATTCCCATTGATCTTGTAGGGTCTTGAACGCGCTTCATGGGAATCACAGTTTAATACAGTTCCTGAACCTTTAACAAAAGAGGAACGTGTCTCACATTTAGCATCGTTATCCGGAGTTGCACTTTCATCAGATGCTTTCTTCCCTTTCTCTGATAACATTCACAGAGCACATCAATCCGGTGTTTCTTATATTGCCGCCCCAAATGGATCGGTGCAGGACGAAGAAGTTGTCAAAGCAGCCGATGAACATGGAATGGTTCTAGCGCATACTAATTTAAGATTATTTCATCATTAAAAAATAATGTCGATAATTATGATCAAATTATTAAATATATTAAAAAGGGGGAGAGAGAAATAAAACCATAAAATTTTTTGGATAACATATTTAAAAGTAAGACGTGTTTTGTTCATTTAATTTAAAAGCTAAAAAACATGGGAATAATGATTACCCATATCACGTGATTCATACGATCGTGTTTACGTTCTCGATAAGGGAAACGTTCTTTGAATAAATCGAAATTGAAATCGACTGTGGCATTCCGTGGCTTCATCTGATGATATGTGTCTTTACTTTCATTATTTTATTTGTGATACACATGTTCAATGTTGTGTAACTTGTTATGATGCTTTTATTATAAAGTTACTATCAACTTGTCGAAATATTCAAAATTTTGCCTTAAATACGAAAAACTTTAATTGACTTTTCTCAAGAAAATTATGAGTTCATATAATTATTCAAGAGATCGTTCACATGCCTCAAGGTCATACTCTTCAGACCAACAGCCTCAAGGTCAACCACCTTTATTACCACCACTTTCTTCTACACGTTCTTCGTTAAATCACTTATTGAATTCTTCCGAAGAACAACAAAGTTACTTACCACCTCCAATATCACAACACAATACCCCACAACACTATCCACAACAAGCAATGTCTTTTCCCCCGTATCATTCTCAACCGTCTAGTAATTCACACTACAGACATAATCATGCGGATTATCCTCCATCTTTGTCACACTCGATGCCTTTACAACCTCAAGAAATCGTTTATAATTATTCCTGGGGTGATTATTCAGAACCTCCAGCACGTCAAGTAAGTTTTTAATAATTTATCTTTACAATGCGCGTGTATTCCATTGGTTATTAAAGTTTCCATTCTTACTTTTTAACAACGTAAATTTAAATTTTCTTTATTAATTAGTTACCAAATTCCTCCTATAAAATGGATCAAGGTGAGAAGATAATTAAAGATACAATTGATATCTTCGTGTGAAAGTTTAAAAATGAGAACAAAAAAAGGACTTCAATGAATACTTAGCTAACAATAATACATTCATGTTTTTTTCCTCTTCTAGCACATCAAAGACCGTTGACATTTTTTCATACGGCAGTAAATCAAGCTCCCGTACATCGTATTCACGAAGGAACCGGTATAATTCCGCAAGAGGTAATTATCATTCTGCATTACAACGTCATTTTGCGAAACTATATAATTTCACACATATTATTATTATTATTATTATTATTATTATTTTAGACATTATTGCGCCAATCACCAACCTTAATGTCAATACCACAACTTTTGAGTAGAGATCCGAACGAAGATTCGGGGTATTCATATTCAAAATCACAAAATAATTCTGGTGGTGTACGTGAAGATGATGTATATGGCAGAAGATCAACAATAGCACAAACAACAACAGATAGCACTGATGATAAAGACAGTGCTGCTACAGTAACTGATGTTAACACAGATATTGGTGTCCGAGATTCAGGACATTCAGGAGATACAACAGAAGAAGAACCTAATCTTCCGCCATCGTCACGAAAACTTTCAGACCAAAAGTCCGGTTTAGTAGTGGTAAATTTTATTAATTGGTGGAAAGATTAATTAATAAATCAGGGAATGACCTTTATACTTGAATTAACATTTACTTTTTTTGTAATCAATTTAAGAAATTAAAAACAATTCAAAACCCTGCACAAACGCAAAAAAATACATCACGAATATCAGAAGATCAAGAATCGGCTAATGCTACAAAAGTCACTCAGTCATCTCCAGTTACAAAGCCTAAAACTACTCGAGGTCGTAGAGCGGCAAGTTCTTCATCAGTAGGCTCTGTATCACAGTCTTCTCAAGTTCAAAATCCTACAAAAGGTACGCGAGCACGTAGAACGGCAAGTTCTTCATCCATCGGTTCAGCCTCTCAGGCCTCTCATGCTACTAAACCTGTAAAAATAACTCGGATTCATAGAACTGCAAGTTCCTCTTCTATTGGTTCAGTATCGCAGGCATCTCAAGCGCAAGAGGTTACATCTCAGTCTAAGCAAAAAATTCAACAGAATCAGAAAATTAAGCAACAGCGTTATTCCGCTAATACTAAACCACCAGGCAGATCAGAACCTTCTTTATCGTCACGTTCAAACAAGAATACTCTGATACAGCGTAAAGATATCGGGCATACTTCTGGTTCGTCAACATTAACTGCTGTGGATATGAAACCTAAATTTGAATTGACTGAATCAAGTAGTGGTTCTTCAAGTAACAGTGATAAAAGTGACTTCGAGGATAGCTCGGATTCCAGTCTAGAAAATGAGTATAGTGAAGATGTTGTGAAATATATGGTTCAATTACATCAGCGTACCAAACGTACTATAGATGCTTATGAAAAACGATGTAGAGTAAGTAATTTTTTTGAAATTAAAGTCATCTCAATCATAATTTTTAACTAGCGGATTTTTTCATACTTTAAATTTAGGCAAAGAGAGAAAAGTTGCGCAAGAGATTCTTATTTCGTAATGCTAATCGCAAAGATATTGTTAAGTTAATGGGGACCGAGAATATTAAGAAAAGACGAAAGCGAATTCCACGTAAAGTCAAGAAGATTGATTCAAAACGATTTACTAGGAAACATGAATATGATGTAATGATTCAGTCGTCAATTCGGAGTTTGCTTTTATCAATAAGAAAGATCTAACAAACTTTGTTAAAATTATAGAGCGAAACCGAAGAGCAAAGGCGCGAAACTCTTTCTTTGAAGATTCAGAAACAAAAGGAAGCATATGAACTCGAGGAGCGAAGAAGAATATGGAAAGATATTGTGCGCAATGCAATACCTAGAGTAAGTTTTCTACTTATTTTTTTCTCCTTTGACCTATCTATTCATATATTTAATAATTTTGATATTGTTATCAGGTACATAAGATTGTAAATCAATCTATTACCTTTCGAACAAACAATGCTCGCAAGATAGCTCAGATTTGTCAGAAGGAAGCTCGTAAAGCTACTACCAAATGTTACAGATCTCCAAAAGATATTCAAACCAAGGCTAAACAGGCAATGCGACAGGTACTGTTATTATAGCGTATAATTATGAAATAAATTATTTAATATAATAATTGATCTTTTTCCATTTAATACTATAGATGCTCATGTTTTGGAAACGTAATGAAAAAGAAGAACGCGAATTGCGCAAAAAGGCTGAGAAGGAAGCTTTGGAAAAGATGAGAATCGAGGAGGAATTACGAGAAGCTAAAAGACAAGCGCGTAAACTCAATTTCCTTATCACACAAACCGAACTATATAGCCATTTTGTCGGCAAAAAAATTAATAGTACGTATTTATTTATTATAAATGTTTTTTGCCATGATTCGAGTTAATTACATTTTTTTATTAGCCGATGATGATCATGGAGAGTCTTCTGTATCCGTTGTCGTTGCAGCTAGCACTCAAGAATTTTCACTTATCAATAATTACACGGAAATCGACGCCGATTTAGACTCTATGCCACCTACTTCATTCAAGGATATCAATTTTGACGAAGGTACTACAAGCGACAAGAATAGAATATTATTTTCAAATTAATTGTTAATATATATATCTTTTACCCTTTTGTTTTTTTTAGAGGATGATATTGCACTTGTAGCTAAAGCTCGTGCTAGCGCCAAGAGTGCTCTTGCGCAAGTTAAGGAACATACCAAGATTTTTGATGGTGAAAGAAAAGCTCAACATGCAGATATTTCATTATCTAATCAAGATTGTATGTTAATTTATTAGGTTTATGATTTTTTGCACTGCTTTTTACTTATAATTTATATTTCTTGTAAAAGTGGATCATATGAACTTTCAAAATCCTTCAAGTATGCCATCGGGCGCAGAGATTAAACAACCAACTTTACTTGCAAAAGTTACTTTGAAAGATTATCAGATAAGGGGATTAAATTGGTTAGCTAATCTCTATGAACAGGTTTATAATTTATTTAATTACTATATATTATTGTATGATTATTAAAGCATTATCCTAAAATCTAAAATTATAATAAATCATAAGGGTATTAATGGAATATTGGCCGATGAAATGGTAATAATATACATATATATATGTATTTATTTATTATTTCAAATAAACATTTTGAGAACTATAAATAAATAAGAATTTCCGATAACTTAATTTGTAGGGTTTGGGAAAAACGGTCCAATCTATATCATTGATGGCACATCTTGCAGAAGTAAGTTTCTGATTGTTTAAGTTCTATTATTTAGTTTAAAAAAAAAAATTGGTTTTTTTTAAAAAAAAATCCGTTCTTTTTATTTTTATTTTTTTAAGACACATAATATCTGGGGTCCGTTTTTAGTTATTGCTCCAGCATCAACCCTTCATAATTGGCAAAAAGAAATTTCTGAGTTCCTTCCTAGCTTCAAGACATTACCATATTGGGGCAATCCTAAAGATCGAAATGTGCTGCGGAAAACTTTGAATAAAAAGAATATGATTTTCAATGCTGATGCGCCTTTCCATGTCGTAATTACAAGCTATCAACTGGTAAATAATCATACTTAAATTTTATGCTCTTTTTATCGATATTAACTAAATCGAAATCGATAGATTGTTCAAGATAAGACGAATTTCGAGAGAACTAAATGGCAATACATGATTTTAGATGAAGCACAAGCTATCAAGAGCTCTTCGAGGTAAATATCTAAGTAGTGTAATTTATACATTTAGCACTTTCTCACTTATGTTATTTCCTTATTTTAGTGCTCGATGGAAAACTTTACTTGGATTCCAATGTCGCAATCGACTTTTGTTAACTGGTACACCAATACAAAATAGTATGCAGGAATTATGGGCGCTTCTACATTTTATTATGCCAACGCTTTTTGATTCTCATCAAGAGTTTAGTGAGTGGTTCTCTAAAGATATCGAAAGTCATGCTGAAAACAAAGGGTCACTAAACGAACATCAACTTAAGCGATTGCACATGATTTTAAAACCTTTCATGTTGCGTCGTGTTA